GCAGGGACTTGCTGCAGCTGCCAGACAAAGGCAGATGCAGCCCTGGCTGAGCAGGGGGTGCTGGCCAGAGACGTTCTTTGCTCACAGTAGCTGGACTTAGGGGCTATGTCTGCACGCGGGGCTTCTTGTGCAAGAAATATGCAAATGAGGCTAAGCGTGGCATATCACTGAGCCTCATTTGCATACCTAATGAGCCGCCGTTTTTGCAGAAGAGGCTCTTGCGCCAGAAGGAGCTGTCTGCACGGCCCCTTCTTGCGCAAGAAAACCCCTCTTGCGGGATGCCGCTATTCCTGAAAATAATCGGCGTAGCGGCCTTGCGCAAGAGGGTTTTTCTTGCGCAAGAAGGGGCCGTGTAGACCGCTCCTTCTGGCGCAAGAGCCTCTTCTGCAAAAACGGCGGCTCATTAGGTATGCAAATGAGGCTCGGCGATATGCCACGCTTAGCCTCATTTGCCTATTTCTCACGCAAGAAGCTGCGAGTGTAGACATAGCCAGGGTGTCCCGTCTATAGATCAACTTACCAGTAGAGAATCAGTGGCCACCCTGAGAGGGACACAGCACGCTTCAGTACTGCCTCCCTCTTGTGTGTGAGAAAGAAGAGAGCCAAAATTGGTTTGGAAGGGGCCCGGCTAACCTGCACAGCTACAACAACAGCACTGCCTATGGATTCCAGTGGGCACAGCACTCCAGACTCTGCCCCAGCTCTTGCCAGGGAAGCTACAGGTGAGGTTTTTAAACCTGACAGACCTCCTGTTGGGCAGTTTGTCCTCTGAGCCGGAGACAAAAATCAGACATGGATTTGTGGAGTAGAGGATGGAGACACCATTGTGAGTAGAATGCTGCTCCACTGTGTAACTTCCAGCACCGTTACTGGTGAGGCCATGGGAACAGGGCAGCAGCACTCTCCTCAAAATGCAATCTCTCCCCTTCCTCTCCCACAACCCATGTGTTACTTAACTCCATTACTGGAAGTACCAAATGTCTGCTATTCTGGAAATACATAAGTAGCCACACTAGCAATCATCGAGGTGCCTAATTCACAAAAGCCTCTCACCCCAGTTCATAGCTTCAGCCCATCTCCCCCTGTAAAGGATGTCTGGGTGGTGGGAGGCTCCAAGCTGGGACAGTCCTGGATGGGAGGGTGTACCTCAAGCCGCCCCTTCCACTTGCCTAGCGATTCTCTTTTCTGTATGGCTTTCCAAGTATCAATCTCATTCCAGGCACATCCCGTTTTCCTGTCACAGCCAAATCCTTACATTGCTTTTAAGTTATGATAAGAGGAAGCTGTTTATCAAATTCGGTGGTCCTAGCCCTTACCATTTAGGAGTTCTTGCACAAAGCACGCAGACAGACAAACTTTCTCAAATATATATAAGATCTGCATGGAACTTAGCTGGTGAGAGAACAGGGGCTTAAGCACCAACAGTAAGCAGATCACCATCAACTCTATATCTCCTTTGTATCAAATAAGCAGTACCGTTTCTAGCTCTACCTAGTAAAAATCAACACAGCTGGCTCAAGTTGAACCCATATACAAACAGGAAAAGGAAAGTGCTTCAAAGAACTTTCCTCCTCCATAACATTCCACTCTGTAGACAGCATTTCATGTGATGGGGCAGATCCAGTATTCAGAAACTTGATTGGCTTCTGCATAAGCCTTGTTTACAGCAGGGATAACTTGCAGAAAATCTCCAATGATGCTTATGATGGTGCAGTCACAGAAGTCCCCTTGGGATTGTTCCCCAGTGTGCTTATCACGCCACTGACGCCCATCTTCTTGCTCTCTAGGGCTCCCCACCACGCAGTCCTGGGTCAGATTGTCTGGTCTCACTCAAACAAGGCACTGAGTTCTAGGAAAGCAATGCAGACAATGAACCACTTCAATTCTGGGCAGATACAGTTCTGGGGCTCAGCATCTAGGAAACCAACCCCCACCCCATTTGAATTTCTCTGTATAAAAGCCTTACACAGTGAAAATGCCTCAAGTAAGCCTTCTTTATCAGTGAAAGAGAGAGATGCTCCCCCAAGGCAACAATTATTTACACTGGGCCAGATAGTAAACAAAAAGTGTTTTTATTAAGTACAAACAATAGGATTTAAATGGTTGCAAATGAAAACAGATCAAAGTAAGTTACTAAATTAAAATGAAAAGGAAAATGCATCGCTAGTTCTAATTCACTAAGAAACTTACTGCATGCAGAATCTTACCCTAAAGAGCTGTTCTTATTTCAGACATAATCTTCAAATCAGAGACAAACTCTTTCATTCTAACTTGGGTCTCCAACCCTCTGTGTTCTTTTAGGATGTGCCAGGCTGTTTCTCCAAGCCAGCAGAAGACAAAAGGACTGATAATTTCCCATTGATTAAACAGACTTTTCCCCAGGGTGGGATCCCTTGGGCTATGTCTACACTGGCGGGTTCTTGTGCAAGAACACGTCCACACTGCCATGTACTTTTGTGCAAGAGTATCCATGGTATGTGGACACTGTCTTGCGCAAGAAAGCTCTGATGGCCATTTTAGCCATAGGGCTTTCTTGCACAAGAAACCTGTGCTGCACATCCACACTGCCCTCTTGCACAAGAGCTCTTGCACAAGCGAGCTTACACTTGTTACAAGAGCGTAGCTCTTGCGCAAGATGCTCTCTTCCCATGCTTTACTGTAAATCTTCTTGCACAAGAGCGAGCGGGCAGTGTGGACGCTCTGCGGCAGAGCAGCCATTCTTGCACAAGAACCCACCAGTGTAGACATAGCCTTGGTGTTAGATTCCCCCTTCTACAGAAAAATACCAGGGTTAAAATGGAATTCGGTATCAGATGGTATGGTCACATGTTTTCTTAGGACCAACTGCTTACAGGACAAACAAGGCTGTTTACAAGTCATTGAGTTGATTATTAAGTCATTAGGCTTCCCGGGTACAAATAATGGTTCTCATTAGCATATTTAAAACTATAAACAGACTCAGACTTCACATGTCTAACTTCACAAAGAAGAATGATACATGCACAAAAATAGAACAGAGATCCAGCAGACTAACATTAAAACTAATAGGTTACATGAGGTATTTTGTCTAAAGCATCTTCAAGTAATGCATATTTATATTCATAAGCCAGTTTTCATAAAGCTTAGGAGGGGAAACTATCACACTGCTAATGCTGGTTCAAAGGTAGTGTGGCATTTTAAACAACTTTTTGATTAGGCCTCTTCTGAACCAAGATTAAATGACATGATGCTTAAGCTGCCAGTGTTTTATGTTTGAGACTCCCAATATTGCAAACATTGGTGGCTAACATGGCTATTACACTGATTGCTCAGAAATTACGGTATACTTAATCTTACTGTCTTTCATTACAGCTATTTATCTGATGTTCTTTTTCTTGTGGCTTCGGGACTCCTGTTTTATCACACCATTCAAAGATTCTTCTTACTGATAGTAATTTCAGCACTGTGATGAAGATGCAACTCTGAGAAACGGAGGCAAATGAAAATTATATAATACAGGGAAAGAAAGACTAGTGTGTCTGCAGAATGGTAAATGGGTCAGTTTTTGGCAGAAACATGGGAATGATGTTATTTTTAAAATAGAACTGATGGAGAAGCTGTTAGTATTTTTCTATGTTTGAGAAGTTTCTTCTGCAAGGACAAATACCAGATACAAGGCAAGATAGGCATGTTAACATTTTCAGTGTTCCTAATTATATACCTGGTGTAAAATGGTTGGGAGAGGTAGCAACAATAATTTCTCAATGACTTAAAAACATTCAGAAGGGCACATCAAGAGCCTCATTATTTTTAGATTTGTTAATGTAGTTCTTGTTATTTATGAAGTGCCCTTTTTTACCAAACATGTTTCTATTTTGGGGGAGTACATACCCTCCTTAATGCCAACCAGGAAGCTCTTCTCTTCAAGGATTAAGAAGGGTGGACCAATTTGTGTGGAAGGGAGAGTTATAGGAATTCAATTCATATCTTCAATCTGTAATCTGCATAAAGACATTTCTCCTCACA